TCACATTAATCTTAATTAAATATCTGAAGTAACACATTATTATTAGATTTTCTTAATTTCTTAACCAGCAATCTTTTCTTTATTTATGTAATTTTTTTCCATGCAAAGTATGTTTCTAAAATATCAAGAGGAGCATGTCCTAATAAAAATATCAGGGGGTAGGTGTATACATTTATTTAAGGCCAAAGTATTATCAAATCATAGTTCATCTTTTGGGTTTGCCTGTGCAGGGGCAGATGATGAACAATTAATCCATTTCTGTTACTTAAGTATATAATATGGTCAGTTCTCTGCCAAGCAGCCTTTGCTTTCAACATAAATCAGTACCCATCAGACCTGGGATCCGAACTCAATGCATTCAGGGTAGCAGTCGAGCGCTCTACCGTCCGACCATGCCATTACATATCTAAAACATACACATTTTTTAAACCTACATACAAAGAGAGCTGAGTACGCTCACAAGTCTCCATCACAATCTGATACACTAAAACATTTTAAATATTTAAATTATTTTATTGAACTGCATATTGAGAACAAATTAAAAAAAAAAACAACACATATTCCTGATGTCTACAAGAAAAAAAAAAAATTGTAACTAATGTGAAAGTTAACACTCAATGTTGCAAGCTGTAGACGTGTTTAATATGTGCTCGCATTTATTTTAAGTCGACTAGAGGTGAGAGGTTAGTCGAATAAATAAATAAATTAAGTACCATTCAGAACATTATGGTTTATAAGACATATAAATAGAAATCATCCATTTTTAATGACCTTACAAATAAAGCGATAATATAATTTACTTAAAAGTTAAAATAAAATTTAAAAAGAAAGGAGAAGATAACTGTAAAAGATAATGCTCAGCAGCAGAGTGGTGCACCTTTATATCAATAATATAAAAACTTGGATTGTTATCTCTAGTTTTAATTCCCATTTTCCGTTATAATTCATCCACTGTAAATTGTAACTATTTCAAATAACTTGCTATTTTTAATTTTTGCAAAAATGAGAACTGGAGTGTACACAAATTGAGAACTTGAGTGTGAAATTGTCATAGTAACTAATACACTTTTCTTCACTTCTGATAAAATATTCAATTTTAAATTTTTACTTAATACAATAAAATAAAAAACATTTTTAGCTTTTCTGTTCATAATGTTTTTCAAATACACTTAAATATATGTTTTTAAACATTCCTTTCAGAACAAATAGTCAAATATAAATATGAAATATAAAAATAAAATTTTCAGTGGATTAAATCACATTAAATAAGTTTAAATTTTTATTTTAAAGGATAAATCTCAAAAATGAATACTTAACTTTCAACAATTAGATTTTGGGCAACAGCAAATATTTTTATATTTTTAAGCTGAAGCCAATGACAAAAAAAAAAAACTTTCCATCAACAATCTATAACTAAAGGAAGACTATGTAATGATAAATTATAGTACTAATCAAAACATTCCCAAACAAATGATAAAATAAATAATAAATATATTTATAGTAAAGAAATTCATAAATTTAAATAGAAAAAAAAACTTGATCTAAAATAAAATAATTTATTAAGTATTAACTTTTGCTTTAAATCTGAGTTGTAAAAATAGTATATATATATATATATATATATATATATATATATATATATATATATATATATATATATATATATATATATATATATATATATATATATATATAAAAAATATATATATATATATACTGAAATAATTTCTTTAAGCCATAATATTTTGAAAGTAATAAAGTAAGTACATAAATTTAGAAAGAATATCTTTTTTTCTCGAATTCTAAAGATGGCTATACAGTTAGAGCAGGCTAGTGTTTGTACATACCTACTATTTAGTATAACAAATTGTACATACTTACTATTTAGTATAATAAATTGGTTAAAGAACAGTGACTTGATTAACTCAAAAGGGAAAAATAAAAATTGATTAAACTACAAAAAACATTTTTCTGGATTAATACTTTGGAATAATTACTAATCTTTCCTTAATGTACTTTCATTATCACAGATATCTGAGAAAACATCTTTATACTTATCTTGAGCTAATATATAAATACAAAAACATTTTTATATTTACTCTAATATATGCTTGTAATTTGTATATGTAAATAGGCCTTGTATATTTATATTCGTATAAATAGCCACAGTATGTTTCTGGAGTTGTAAGTTGAGAACATTCATATAGAGCTATTCAAACTATCTATTAGAAAACCAAAAATGTTTATTGCTATTCTCTAACGGAACAACATAGAGTTATGGAACACCAGATCAATGAGCAAATGTCAAGGTCATTATTTGAAACCTGTGGATGTGTGAGCAATGGTTCTCATACTGATATCTGCCGTCTACTCACACACAACTTCTCAACTGAGTGAGGTCTACTCACACAACTAATTGTGTAATAGAATGAAGTGAATATAATTTTAAAAATAAAAAACAGAATCGGTAATTTAATGGTGATATACAAGATAAATTTTGTTCTCAAGTTGTTCATAAGGGGGGGGGGGGGGGGGGGGTCGTGTGGAAGTATATTAGAGAACTGTGTACAAGCAAAATATGTGTTGGAAATAAAAATGTAAATAAGCTATTCACACATTTTTTTTATGGAAATGCTTACATAAGTAGTCATTTATGGAGATATCAAAATTAAACGATGAAGTTGATATCTCAATTATCTGAAGTTGTTAAGTTTAAATAATGGCGAAAACAAGATTAACCTATGGAGATATCAAGATTAATATAACAAATATATCAAGATTAACCTAAGGATATACCAGGATTAGAACATATCATATAGCACAGTAGATATGAACAACCACCTCTCCCCACCTCTCCACAGATACAAGAACCAGGTGAAAGCTCCAGCCAAAATGTCCATCAGGTTAAGGACACTGAGCAAGCAGAAACAACTAAACAAATTGACCATGGTCCCTGTATGTACACGTCTACTGGACCTATTATGTACACACAGAATAAAAATAATACATCCATTGGGGGCTCCTGGCCCAGAAACAATATCACATTCAAGTGTAACAATTATTAAACTGTAAGTCATGGAATAGACAGAAGAGGATTGTGCTAGTTTTTTTTTTTTCTCCCCTTGTCAAGGGAAACAATTATTTAAATGTAAGTCATGGAATAGAGAGATGGGAGGTAACTCTTCTACAAGAATGTGAAACAGTTTTCAAAATGTAAGAAATAGAATAGAGGGGCGATTATAGCACAAGATTTCTAATTTAATCTAAATTAAAATGTAATATTTACCAGAGCTATATGTCATGGAATAAACAGATGGGAAATGATCGTGCAAATATTAAGAACATTTTTTTTAACTACTTCGCAAATGTCATTGCCGAAATCTATCATGTTTATTTTTATACATTATCAAGTTTTACTGAACAATTTATGGTGAGGGAATGCACATTATATTTTACTCTTAGAGATCTTAAATAAGTTTGTTTGGCAAATTAATTTGTATGCACCGAATTTATTATGTGAGATTTCTAAAAAGTGGATTGAAGTGACACAGGCAGATATATTACAAAACAAAACAAAATGGCTGTGAAATATTGGTAACTAACATACAGCACATGATAAAGCAAAAAAAATGTTGATTTATATATTTTTTCAATGTAGATAATAAATGTTTTAAGTGTTTTTAAAAAAAAAGAAATTTGAACTTTGTAGTTTCTATATAAAGGATTTCTTTGTTGTGCGATTTAAATTAGCAAATAATTAAATTGCTTATTTCAAAATCTAATGTTTTGTTTAAGTAAACCTAGAATTATCAGATAAATTTAAATACAAGAGTTGATAGATTATTAATTCCAGACACATTGATTAAACTTTAATTATTTACACAAAAAATAAAAAAAATTATTAGTTAAAGTGAACAAGTATTCAAGCCGTTACTTTAAAGTTATAAAATGTACTTGTCATGCTGTAACTAAAAGTATGAAATAGTATATGTCATGCCATACAAATGTATTTAAACTTGTTAGTTTGTAGCTGATGAAGTAACTTGGATGTGTTAACAAAGTATAGGTACAGACAAGCCTAGGTTGGTACAGATAGTAAACATGAATTATTTCAAGAACATCAGTTCAATCATTGGCGGTAAGTTACATAGCTCCAGAATTTTTAAAACAAAAATCTGGCTTTTAGTCAGTCATCTATTTGAGTTAGTTGTTTCAGTCACATCTAAAAGTCACCTATTTCAGTCATCTGTTAGGTACTTCAGTCATCTGTTCTGTTTAAGTCACCTCTATCAGTCAACAGTAAGTTGCAGGAGAAGACTTGAATAGAACTTGTACCATAACAAATTGTACCATAACACAGCAACATCAAGATTTATGGCAACACTAAGATGTACAGAACTTTCCAGTTGCTGGATTTATTATATTGAGAACTTAAAGACTAAAAGTGCTAACACTTTAACAGTGCTGGTGGGTTGATTAGAGAATTTTTATGAAAAGAGAAAGTCAAATAAACTTTTATTTTTATATTAAAACGAATTTGAAAAAAAAAAATGCTAATATATTTTATCTGAAAGTTATTGTTTCTTTTTTTAAAAAAAGACAATTTAAATATTTTAAACAAAATTACCATTTACTGTTAATTCACAAATTTAAAAAAATAACCCCCCCCCCCAGCATTATCTTTAACATAAAATTTAAAAAAAAATTAAAAATTGAAATTTTATTCAGTAAAATGCTTATGACTTTTGTCAGCTGAAATTAAACTAAATAAAAAATATGATAAATACTCCATGATAAATACTAAAAACATCATTTAAAACATATACAAAGATAGCATAATATTTTCTTATTAAGTCTGCAGACTCTTCTTGGTTTAATGAAATATACTAATAGCATAATTAAACATAAAAAACTAATCTATTACTGAAAATGTGATACAGATTTCTTTGCATTTTTAAGTCCCTATGATGATTCAGGTAAACATGATTGGCAGCATGATGATGATGAACCAGGTAGACTGCTCTTAGAATGATTCATGTAAACTTGATTGGCACGATAATTATGATGACTTAAGTGGACTAGAGTGTCCCTAGGATGGTTCAGGTAAACTGGTGTTTGGTCCCTCCAACGTGGGAGTGCTGCACCCCTCCTTGGCAAGCCCAGTGGTTATTGCAGCTTCCTTGATCTGGATAGCAAGAAAAATGTCTTGTGAGCTTATTAAAAAAAAATAGTAAAACTTTTTCGTAAAGGAAAGTGGTTATTTTACATTGCAATGATTATTTTATGTAGAAAAGTAAAAGAACTAAAACCAAATATTTTTAATTTAAATATATATTAAACAAACTTGACTAATATACTTATGAAAAATTTAAATATAGATCTATATAAAACCAGCTAAATATACTCATGAAAAATCTAAATATATATAAAACCAACCTGCCTAATATTCTCATGAAAAATTTAAATATATATAAAACCAACATTATATACTGATGAAAAATTTAAATACATATAAAACCAACCTGTCTAATATACTCATGACAATCTTTTTTAGCCTGGACTAGTAGGTCAGCATGACCCTTCAACACCCTAATGTTCCAAGCAAAATTTTCTGTTGCCTATAGAATATTGAGACAAGCATTCTTTAGACCCTACAATGTTTACTCAAGATTATAATTTTAAATAAACTAATTTAAACCAAAGTTTAACACTACATACAACAAACTGCCAGGTTTTAATTATTTTAGTTAAGTTTCTAAATATTTTATCTGGTAATGTTTTTCTTGTTTCAGTTTCTGTAGCAGTACAATCAGAATTCAATAAAGCTAAGTTACGGTTTTTAAATTCCTGGATCACTATTGTTAAGGTTTGATAACCATTAATATTTCTAAAGTTTACTCAGGAATTCTCAACATCACAGTCGTAATATAACCAAAATTTAACAAGATATCAGTACAAATTTTAAACTGCTGGGTGACTTACTTTTGATAGTTTCTTTCCCTTGAGCCCTGACTGCTGACAGACATTCTCCAGGTTGTCATGCCATTCAAGTCCAGCTTTCTGGCACTGCAGTAACTGGGAAATTTAGAAAATGTTTGATTATACTAAAGTTTATTTGAAACATTAATTTTTTCAAAAGGTTTAATAAGCAAAGTTTACTTCAGAATGTTTAATTATACTAAATTTTATTTGAAACATTATTTTTTAAAAAGGTTTAATAAGCAGTTTATTTCAGAATATACACTCAAATTATTTTAATAAAAAAATTAACATCATGTTTAAATTAAACACATACTACATTTTAATACAAACTAATTATATTTTTTCAGACTAATTTAAAGCTTTCTATTATATTACCTTAAAACACAATTATCATTATTTTTTGCACATTCTTTACTTCATTTCATTAAATACAATTATTATTACATTGTTAGACCAAATTATTTTACTTTCATACAAGTTAATATAACTATATAATTTTGTAAGATTAACTAAAACTACTTTATCAAATTTGAATTATAAAACCATAAATCAGGTGTCATTAATTAAATTACTTTAATGAATAACAAACTTACTTTTTCGTAAATAGCATCTGAATTCTGTATAACATTTTTACATTCGTTGATTAGCTAAAGTAAAAAAAAAAAATAACAAAATTACATTTTAGTCTAGTTATATATATGTTCTTTAAATACAAAGATCTTTCTATACTTTATCACACACAAATGTGATAATCTTAATTATGTACACAAAAAAAGACACTGAACAATAGGTTTTTTATAACGGCAATTTTTTAAGAACAACTTTAGTTTTGCAACCAACCTCTTCAAAAGTTGATAAAGACTTTTTAAAGATTTCTGGAAGGGTGCCTTGAGCTTCTAAGTCTGGAAACTAATGAAGAGAGTAAAACACAAAATTAATTCATGTTCTTAAACTTTAGTAAAGGATTTATAGATTTGCACAGTAAAGTTATTTAATTGAAAAAGTACCATACACAAATGTCTTTTGTCAAGATTTATCAATTTAGTACGTTGTTTTCAGTTGAAATTGATGACATAGATGAACATAGATGGAATAAAAATAAAATTCAACTTGCTTCATGCTAAAAAACAATTTATGCCACTGATTTGATTTTATGCAGTTAATCTAATATAGATATAAATTCAATATGTAATTTGTTGGCAAAAAGATTTTATTAATAATAAAAATGTTCCAGTCATTTGTTTTGAATAAATAAATCCAAAATTGAACTTAAAATGACAAAACAAAAATAGTCTGCAAATAAAATGTTTTCTGTTAATCTTGTGCTTGGACTCTGGGCTTCAATAGAAGGGGCTTATCTCCCAAAATAGATTGTGATTTCAATAATAATAAAATAATCATTACACTTTAAATAATTAAAAATCAAGAAAAAGATAAGTTTCATGAAAATTTTTGCTATATTGATATGTTTTTTAATTAAAATGATGGAAAGTTACACCATAATTTTTGTTCATGATTACTAGATTTCTGTAAACCAAAACAATGCTAGGTTTTTGAATCAGTATAAAAAATGACAGTAAAATCTCAAGTATTAATCATTGTATTTATTTCTCTCATGTACAGGGTTTTAAATAAAAAATTCCCAACAAAACTGTAAAAACATCTAAGACTATCATGGTAAAGAGACAATTTTTGTATTTCTTTACTTCTAATTACCTTCATTTGAATTGTTGATCAACAAATCAATTTTTTAGTAATGTTCACCATTTTGTTCATGTAATAATATTTGTAAATGTTTGAACTATGTTAAAGATTAAAAAAAAAATAAACCTGGAGTGATCTCCCCTAAACTTTCCCGAATATTCTTATACAAAACAACAGGGGATGGCAACTCGGGATATAGACATGATTTTTAATCCATTTTAAATACTTAAACTTTTTAAAATGAAATAAAATCTCGTAGAAAAAAGAATTGCATACCAAGTGAACGCCACACAAAATGTGCATTATAGTGCGGAATATTATTAGTACTTTATAAATTCACATGCCTTTTTTGAGAAATTGGAAATAGCGTAAATTACTACTTTCGGTCAAAGGAAATAACTCAAAATTTGACAGAAGGCAGAGAATTAGATCTTTTACTTACACATGAAATTTCATTTATACACCTGAAATAGTACTCAAGTTATAGGCTTTTAAATACAAAGCAGAATAAGTTCCACTTCCGGTTATAGGAAATCACTCAAAAGTTGATAATTATCTACGATTTTGATAAAAATATATGCAATTTCATCAACATAGCTGAAACGATACTCAAGTTATCATGTTTACAGACACACACACACAGACACACACACACACACACAGACACACACACATACATATGGACTAGATTGCAAAACTATGTTTTGCCAACTTAAGGAGCTGTAAAACGTCATGATTTGCAAAAATCTCAACTTTTGTTTTGCACGATTACAAGACTTTCTCTATGCTTCGTATATATGAGAAAGTAACAAGGTCATTAAAAACTTGAAATAATAAATCAAAGAAAACAATAACAAAAAAAACAAAAAGATGTTGGCTGTAGTGCCAAAATGGTTAAGAACTCAAGAAACAATTAAAGAAAAAAAAAATTCTAAAATACTGACTTGAATAAGAAATTAAAAAAAAGTATTGAACCTACTTCGCCTTTCATAGAATAGGAGAGGGAGACACTTTCTCCGGAGTTGGCTATTCTAGAAGACAGGAGCCTGATGCACTGTTTGAGGTTTGCTATGGGCGCTAAGCAGCAGGAATCCTTGAATGTGGACAAGGCTAAATGGAGGTTGTCTCGCAGGTCTGTTCCATCTCTCAATGGCTGGATGGCTGTCTGTGGAACACATACAGTCTTCGTTTAGTTATCTATATATATAATTCTCTTCTGGGATCAGTTAGAAAACAAGCTTCAAGCGCGCCTTTGCAGTCCCCTCTCTTCCTCTCTATCACTATCACTACCACCCCCACCCCACACCCACATGATCTGGTGAGCGGTGTTCACTCTGTTTACTTTTTACAATCACAGAGACGGGTTTGGTGACCGCTATTAGGGGCAGATAATTTAGTTTGAAACGATTTTAAACTCAGAGGAGGTAACTAAGAGGAGGCTGCTTTCACGTGGGGGGGGGGGGGGTGGTAGTGTTTTTAAGCAAATATTTTCAATGGCAGCATTGGTACTGTCGAATTCGCAAATTATAAATTACTGAAAAGTAGAAAAAAAAAACAACTAAATAGCGGCGTATGATACGCAGCGGGTCGGCTCGTTGTTACTTAATTCAGTTACCATTACACAGGGGAGTTTTAAGACTAGTCATCTTTGTGAAAATCTGAAGATTTTTTTGTGTTAGAAGAAGTAATATCTGTTCATTGCTTTTTTTTTTAATATAGAAAAAAATGCAATGAATTTTTAAATCTCTTGATAATATATTAATTGATTCAATTAAATTTATGATTATTATCTAAAAAAATTATAGTTATATAATGATGATGAGGATTGTACTGAATTCTCTAATGTTTAATCAAATAATATATAAGCCATGTAATAAAACTTACTTTAAATGTTTCATCTATACTCTTGACTCCCACTGTTTTCATGCTAGTGTAGTCCTTTGATCGCCTTGTTTTTTTCCCAGAAAGACCTCTTTTGTTAACCTTCTAAACAACATTTACAATTTTATACAACCATATCCTTTAAAAAATAAAAATATTTCTAGATTCTATAAAATAAATGAAATAAACTAAAAGTTAGTTGGCTCTGTATTTTGAATGCTTTTAACATTATTATTATAGGCCTACTAAACATCAAACTTTTATCATCCTGCACATATTATTAGCATCAGATTATCAGCACATATTATCGTCCCACTTATGCCGAACGCACTGATCAAAATATGACACACTACTGCAGGTTACTGCTTGAGAAAAGTCTTTCAAAGTTTCAACTCACCCCTCCTCCTCTTTTATTGGTTATTGCAACATGTATAAAAAGTGTACAGTTCTCCATTAGGTTCCCTGTGTTAGAAAGCAGCTGTATGTGCCTGTAGCCTGTAGGAAACAAACAAACAAACACAATCAACATGTATAAAAAGTGTACAGTTTTCTCCATTAGGTTCCCTGTGTTAGCAGCTGTATGTGCCTGTAGGGAACAAACAAACAAACAAACAAACAAACAAACAAACAAACACAATCAACATGTTTAAAATTTACAGTTCTCCATTAGGTTCCCTGTGTTAGACAGCTGTATGTGCCTGTAGCCTGTATGGAACAAACAAACAAACAAACACACTGAACCCACCTCCACAGAATGATATTAACTAAACAATAAATCGTGGTATATTTTCATAAAGGTAAGTGGTAGGTTACCTGTCTGCATGCACTCAAAAGGTATTGTGTACTGTCCAATGAACTCATCTCCAATGTAATCATCATCAAGTATGGCAAATCTGACTAGCGCAAGTTCTGGTAAATTTATTTGAAACTCAAAACTTTCATCAAAAATTGGATTGTACCCTGGAGAATGGAACATAGATAATAGTATTAATTAGTTAATTAACATAATTAATCATCTGTGGTTGCTGCGGTCAAGTTTACTGGTAATAATTTATGGTTGTTTAGTCGAGGTCTGAATAAAGTTTCCAAATACATCCATTTTTATTTTTCTGAGATATTTGACTTTTAAATTCAGTTATGCATTAACTTGCACTTCTTGCTACATTTAATTGGGTTACAATATTCCTCTTGTAATTATTGCTTAAGTTCAGCTTTTGTTCAGCCCTGATTATTACAACATATACATTTGTTTCAGCAACTTTTAAATTGTGTCAACTTTTCCAAAACTTTTCATGTAACTAACCCAGGGGTCGGCAACCCGTGGCTTGCGAGCCGCATGCGGCTCTTTTGATATCAAGATACGGCTCTCCAGCTCCTTGCACAAATACTAATAATCTTAATTAAAAAATAAAATATTTGAAATAAAAAAATGTTAGTGGCTCTTTAAAACCAGGGAAATTTTGAAAATTGTAACTTTTGGCTCTTCTGCTTCAAAAGGTTGCCGACCCCTGAACTAACCCATTTCTGGTAATAAAAAATTAATTTAAATAATTTCTTATGATATAAAAATAGATTGTAATAGATTTAAATTTTTTATTTCTATCCTAAGATCTCCTTTTTGTATATTGGTAACCTGAGACATTTTTAGAAATGACTTGCCATTTGACGCCTACATGAAGCTGAATTAAAAAAACATAAAAAGAAACGGTACCGTTGTGGGGGACAGTTTTAGTTCTCTCTTCTGCACAATCTGCTGGGATACCAAAGACCTCAATTGTGACGTAGGGGTCAGTGACATCACCTTTTGCTGCCGAACCTTTGGGCTTGGGGAAGTTCTGACCACTGATGATCTGTCAAACACAGAGGTCATGTTAGGTGTTAGCTGAGTCAGGAACTGTCATGGTTTGGTCAGCAACTGTCATGTTTTAGTCAGTGACTGTCATGTTTTAGTCACCTTCTGTCATGGTTTAGTCACCATCTGTCATGCTTTAGTCAGCAACTGTCAATGTTTTAGTCACCAGCTGTCATGGTTTAGTCACCATCTGTCATGGTTTAGTTAGCAACTGTCATGCTTTAGTTACCATCTGTCATGTTTTAGTCAGCAACTGTCATGTTTTAGTCAGCAACTGTCATGTTTTAGTCAGCAACTGTCAATGTTTTAGTCACCAGCTGTCATGGTTTAGTCAACATCTGTCATGGTTTAGTTAGCAACTGTCATGTTTTAGTCACCATCTGTCATGCTTTAGTCAACATCTGTCATGGTTTAGTCAGCAACTGTCATGTTTTAGTCACCAACTGTCATGTCTTAGTCACCATCTGTCATGGTTCAGTTAGCAACTGTCATGTTTTAGTCACCTTCTGTCATGGTTTAGTCAACATCTGTCATGGTTTACCAACTGTCATGCTTTAGTCAGCAACTGTCATGTTTCAGCCACCATCAGTCACGGTTTAGTCAGCAGCTGGCATGTTTTAGTCAACACCTGTCAAACATTCAATGTCACTGCAAAACTAAATTCAGCCATTTTGATCCAAGAAATTTATTGCACAGAATAACTAGCTCACTTCTGTCTAGTTAGTAATTTTATAAAAGAAATTTTAGAAAAATTAATGACAAAAAGCTGTATTATAATTAGTTTTAACTTGTAAAAAATGTGTCTAACTCCTTTATTCTATATCATCTTTTTTAAAAATATATAAAAATTTAATCAAACGTTTATGTAATTTTACTTCTTTGTCAAAAACCATCTAAATATTAATATATAACGTAGCCCAATTTAAAATATCTTATATACAGTTGTTTGAGGGTTGAAAAAATTCATAAAAAATGTTTTAATAACAAGCTTTTATATACTAATGCACTAAAAAGTAGAAAATAAATGAGTTTCTTTAAATATATAGTAATGCACTACTATTTAAATAACTATAAAGAAAAGTGTGGGCCAATTTATTATCTGTTGGATACCTTTACAAATATTTATGAGATTTTTTAATGCAATAGGGCCTAGAGTTGCATGACTAAAAACCATTGCGCACCTAATGATTGTGATGACGCATGTCTAATAGTGCGAAATAGTTTGATGAGACAGCCTACTAATTTGGACAAAATTTTAATCAATTCATAAAAAATTAATTAGGCATCCAATTAAGTCAAATTTAATGTCATGTTGCATTGTCTTCATGTCTTGAACCACGTACCAACTAGGAACTGAATCTATCAGTTAGAAGTGCCCGAATTTTTGCTCAGGCATTTCGATCTAGACTGACGACAGAGGAAGCAAGTTAAATAAAAGCTTGTAAAAACAGGTGGTTATTTACCTTGATGTGTAGAATTTGAGGTGAGACACCGGGTATGACATCCTTTGTGTTGGCACTAAAGTATGCAATCTCTTCTCTCATGATGGCGGGCTTGAGAATGTAGCCACACCCACCATTTTTCTGGAACCATCCGTGGTAGAGATCCATCATTAAGCCAGCTGTCTGGTAGTTTAATGCAACTATAAAATAAAAAATTAAATCAAGTAGTTAATTAATTGGATATCTTAATTAAGTGAAATAAATATTTTTTAAATTGACCTATTGCACACAAACTTAATGTAAAATGCTCAACCCATAGGCTAACTATCCTGAAGACCTACCAAAATGACAATACTTTCTAAACGCTACTCCCCCAAAGACCTAATCACACGACAGCCACTAACAGCAGTTTAAACCCACAAAAGACCAACCCACATTAAACCCATCCTTAAAGAACCCACCCATAATAAATCCTCCCTCGAAGAACCTACCCACATCAACCCCACCCCTTAAAGAACCTACCCACATCAACCCCACCCCTTAAAGAACCTACCCACATCAACCCCACCCCTTAAAGAACCTACCCACATCAACCCCACCCCTTAAAGAACCTACCCACATCAACCTCACCCTTAAGGACCTACCCATATTAAACCCACCCCTTAAAGAACCTACCACATCAACCCCACCCCTTAAAGAACCTACCCACATCAACCTCACCCTTAACTACCTACCCATATGATAGACTGTCCCTAGGACCTACCCACATCCACCCCGCCCCCTTAAGCCCCTACCCACATCCACCCCACCCCCTTAATCCCCTACCCATATGATAGACTGTCCCTAGGACCTACCCACATCCACCCCGCCCCCTTAAGCCCCTACCCACATCAACCCCAACCCTTAAGCCCCTACCCACATCCACCCCACCCCCTTAAGCCCCTACCCACACCAACCCCACCCCCTTAAGCATCTACCCAAATCAACCCCACCCCCTTAAGCATCTACCCACATCCACCCCACCCCCTTAATCCCCTACCCATATGACAGCCACAGTTCCAGAGATCCTGTGGGTTGTAGTTGCTGGAGTCGACCCTCATGCCATTGGGGTAGATCCTGGCCAGGAACTTTTTGTTGTGGTTGACAAACTCTTCAGGGCAAGACATGGCCAGCTTCAAGGCTTGAGACTCACTGAAGGAGTTCATCTCCCAGTACTTTTCTGTTGGGTGCAAGACACAATGGTAACAGAACAAAACAGAACTTATATGGCCAGCTTCAAGGCTTGAGACTCACTGAAGGAGTTCATCTCCCAGTACTTTTCTGTTGGGTGCAAGACACAATGGTAACAGAACAAAACAGAACTTATATGGCCAGCTTCAAGGCTTGAGACTCACTGAAGGAGTTCATCTCCCAGTACTTTTCTGTTGGGTGCAAGACACAATGGTAACAGAACAAAACAGAACTTATATGGCCAGCTTCAAGGCTTGAGACTCACTGAAGGAGTTCATCTCCCAGTACTTTTCTGTTGGGTGCAAGACAATAATGTTAACAGAACAACACAGAACTTATATGGCCAGCTTCAAGGCTTGAGACTCACTGAAGGAGTTCATCTCCCAGTACTTTTCTGTTGGGTGCAAGACACAATGGTAACAGTACAAAACAGAACTTATATGGCCAGCTTCAAGGCTTGAGACTCACTGAAGGAGTTCATCTCCCAGTACTTTTCTGTTGGGTGCAAGACACAATGGTAACAGAACAAAACAGAACTTATATGGCCAGCTTCAAGGCTTGAGACTCACTGAAGGAGTTCATCTCCCAGTACTTTTCTGTTGGGTGCAAGACACAATGGTAACAGAACAAAACAGAACTTATATGGCCAGCTTCAAGGCTTGAGACTCACTGAAGGAGTTCATCTCCCAGTACTTTTCTGTTGGGTGCAAGACAATAATGTTAACAGAACAACACAGAACTTATATGGCCAGCTTCAAGGCTTGAGACTCACTGAAGGAGTTCATCTCCCAGTACTTTTCTGTTGGGTGCAAGACACAATGGTAACAGAACAAAACAGAACTTATATGGCCAGCTTCAAGGCTTGAGACTCACTGAAGGAGTTCATCTCCCAGTACTTTTCTGTTGGGTGCAAGACAATAATGTTAACAGAACAAAACAGAACTTATATGGCCAGCTTCAAGGCTTGAGACTCACTGAAGGAGTTCATCTCCCAGTACTTTTCTGTTGGGTGCAAGACACAATGGTAACAGAACAAAACAGAACTTATATGGCCAGCTTCAAGGCTTGAGACTCACTGAAGGAGTTCATCTCCCAGTACTTTTCTGTTGGGTGCAAGACACAATGGTAACAGAACAAAACAGAACTTATATGGCCAGCTTCAAGGCTTGAGACTCACTGAAGGAGTTCATCTCCCAGTACTTTTCTGTTGGGTGCAAGACAATAATGTTAACAGAACAACACAGAACTTATATGGCCAGCTTCAAGGCTTGAGACTCACTGAAGGAGTTCATCTCCCAGTACTTTTCTGTTGGGTGCAAGACACAATGGTAACAGAACAAAACAGAACTTATATGGCCAGCTTCAAGGCTTGAGACTCACTGAAGGAGTTCATCTCCCAGTACTTTTCTGTTGGGTGCAAGACAATAATGTTAACAGAACAACACAGAACTTATATGGCCAGCTTCAAGGCTTGAGACTCACTGAAGGAGTTCATCTCCCAGTACTTTTCTGTTGGGTGCAAGACACAATGGTAACAGAACAAAACAGAACTTATATGGCCAGCTTCAAGGCTTGAGACTCACTGAAGGAGTTCATCTCCCAGTACTTTTCTGTTGGGTGCAAGACACAATGGTAACAGAACAAAACAGAACTTATACAGTGCAAGACACAATGGTAACAGAACAAAACAGAACTTATACAGTTAAAAACAAAATGTTAACAGAACAAAACAGAACTTATACAGTGAAAAACAAAATGTTAACAGAACAAAACAGAACTTATACGGTGCAAGACACAATGTTAACAGAATAACACAGAACTTATACAGTGCAAAACAAAATGGTAACAGAACAAAACAGAACTCTAATAGGGCAAAACAAAATGTTAACAGTACAAAACAGAACTCTAATAGTGTAAAACAAAATGTTAACAGTACAAAACAGAACTTATACAGTGAAAAACAAAATGTTAACAGAACAAAACAGAACTTATACAGTGCAAGACAAAATGTTAACAGAACAAAACTCAAATAGTGTAAAACAGAACTCATTCAATGAAAAACAACTCATACAAAGCAAAACAGAACTTTTACAATTAAAAATAAAACTTATTTAATCTGTGTGGTAATGACAAAGTTTTTAAATTTTATTCACATTTAGTATTTAAGGTAAAATAATTTGCTCTCAGAGATGACTTATATCTGGTCTTTGATGATCACTTTACACAGCTTTCCATAGCTTTTTAAAAACTTAATAGTGTGGCCTATTTGCTTTTTTTTTATTGCCACTCATAGCTTTTGTTTAGGCCCCTATTTATATGAGAAACTATTTTTCATTTGCATGGTATCATCATGATTGGTGTATTTGGTTCTGGTTTCTCATTTTATATTGTGTTTACTTTCTACTTTTATTTTTTATCTAGATTTATGCGATTCTTATCATTAGCCTTCATAGCTTTCTATTATTAAATGTATATTTTTTATCGAGTTTTATGCTATTCCTATCATTGGCCTTCATATGTTTCTATTGTTAAATGTATATTTTTTTTTCCTAGCCAATTTAGAGTTGGTGGGGCATAAATGGCCAACCAGGGTTCTTTTGTCACTTTTTTTTGCTTGATGCATCAATAAAATTAGAAAGGAAGCATCAAGAGAATTAATGAACAAACCCAAGTTTTTAAAATCTATTTAAATCTTTTCCCCAAAAAAAAAAAAAAAAAAAAAAAAAAAAAAAAAAAAAAAAAAAAAACACAACAAAAAAAACAGTCTGTAATGCTATAATATAGAGCTGATCTTAAACCTAAAATGTCGATTTTTTTTTTGTCAGTTCCTTAAAAAAAAATAACATTATAAAATATTCTTTTTAGACCAATAAAATGAAAGTCTCAACAGACTTCTAAAACTTACGATTTTGCTGAGAAGTTTGGAAGTCTTCGAATCTACGTGAAACACAGTACGATATAAGATCAGATAACTCTTTTGCAAGTTTATGCTTTTTAATTGAGCCCTCCTGAGGAAGAAACAGAATATCTTAACCTTAATACAAAAAATTTGGAAATTTATAATATTTCGCCATAATGCAGATATTTAATTTCAAAATCACTATTTTTATTGAAACTTTTTTCTCTAAAAAATGATTTGAGTTTTAAAACTTATTTTCTTATGATTTTATTAAAAAAGAAGTGTGACAGACGAGAAAGAAGATTACCCTTTTACTGTTTTTCTTTTTCTCTGGTTCAGCGCCTTCATCTTCATCGGTAACATAACCTTCATTCGATTCAGAATTTAAATTCAGTTTCTTGCCCTAAAGGAATACACTTTTTGTTAACGAAATCTCAAAAAATTGGCCGGATAACGTTTTTATATTTTTTAAAAGCATTTCAAAGCACTAGCAAAAAATTGAAAAGCAGAACAATATTAACTATAGATCTATACTTCTGCAATCTAGCTTTTTTTTAAAAAAAAAAAAGACAGAAGGGAAATAACTCTAAAATTAGTTTTTTTTTAAACTCTAGCAGAAATGTATCAATTTTTTTTTTTAAATTATAAAAGGCAAGATTGAAATTTCTAAAATTAAAGCATATCTAATGAAGAAAATTCATTAAATTAACTAAAATACTATGCAATTAAAAAAAAAAGAACATGCACACAACTAAAACAAATATAAGCATTTAGAGATTTTTTAAAAACCTGTCAATTTTAAAGTATTTCTAGCTGTCAGTTTCATAAAAGTGCGCTGTCATATGCATGCATTTATAAGTTGTATGTGCAAATAAAAAAGGTGTATCTAACTAAGCACACATGTAGTATTCTTGTGGGTGGCGTATGTGTGGTAAACCTTCAAGTCCATTCCAGTCTACATAAGAGACCTTGCACCCTAAGCACATTGCCATGTAAATAACGTTTTAGTAGTGCTTTCAATTTTCAAACTTCGGTTCTCATAGCAGAATAATAACATGGCTGACTTTTTAAAAATTCTTAATTGATTTCACTAATATGTACATATTAATGTACTTTTAAAGTAAGTTTAGATTAAAAAAAATATGTTTAAAAATAATAGAGGTTGCTTTATATATATATATATATATATATATATGTTTTAAAGACAATTTCATGGTACTATCAGTTAATTTAATTTTTCAATAGACAGTAAAAAGTGCTTCATAACAAAATTTATTAGATCAGGGGTGGCATTTAATTTTTTTTTTTTAAATTAAGAAAATTTGTCTATAAATTGTTCTGTAGCTGGACATTGTATTAGCAATGCTTAGTACAGAAAATGTTATAGATTACTGCTTATTGCTTAGTTTTAAGTCCCAATTTTAGTTACATTCCACAAAATAATGGAGTTTTTATCAACTTTAAAACCAGAGAACCTCAGTTATCTACCCTAAATTTGCTACTGTTAAAATGAAACTAGGTGGTTTTTTTTTATATAGATAGAAGAAGTCCTAACAGTTTCCTGAAGTACTTTTATCAGAATTTTCCCCTTGAAAAACTCAGGGGAGGGAAGTGTGGTCCTGTTGAGGTCGACGTTGTCTGTGTAGAGTTTGTCGCCAAATATGGACTTCATGTAGTGGGCTATTGCTTGTTGCTGCTTGATATTGCAGTGGTTTTCGAGGGAAAGTATCACAGGGTATCTGTAAAAGGAAAGTGTATCTAATAATATATATCAGTAGATAAACATGTCACACACAATATCTGCAGAAGGAGAGTGTATCAAATTATATACACCTGTAGATAAATATATCACACACAATATCTGCAGAAGGAGAGTGTATCGAATTATATACATCAGTAGATAAATATATCACACACGATATATGTAGATAGACATGTATCCAGTTATATACATCAGTAGATAAATATATCACACACGATATATGTAGATGGAGATGTATCCAATTAATTACATCAGTAGATAAACTTAGCATTACATTGGGTATCTGTAGGAGAAGCATATATCAAATAATATACAAAATCAGTGGACAAATATATCATTACATGATTACTCTAAATGAGGGAAGTATTAAAAATTATAAATATCACAAAACAAAACACAAATTATATAGACTATCAGAAGACTTTAAGGAAGGAAAATATTTAAAACAATAAACATAATTTTACAATTAAAAAAACAAGTCCATCAAATGAAGAAGAAATGTGATTTAATATTATTAACATCAAGACCCACCCAAAATATTGCACATCCTAACATATGGAGTTTGAAGAAGAAAAGCTTTAAACAATAAATAGAACAAAATAAGAAAGATTCAAAGATCCCTTCAAACAGGTAACAACATAAAACTTATACAAAAGTTGCTGATATATTTTCTTTTTAAGTCTCTTGACAACAGGATGTAATTACCACTTCATTGTTTGAAAACTTGATAAAAAGTTCAGAAGATCAGAAGCTGATTTTCTTTGATGTTAAGTTAGTTTCCTGCTGGGGAGATCTTATTTAACAAAAAATAATATACTTTCTTATAATTCAAACATATGGCTCAAACTACATAGCTCCATTACTTCACTGCTTTAAAAAAAATTCTGTGTAAATAATACATAACACGAAATACAAAGCAAATACCCAACACTGGAATACACTGGGATCAGAAAAGGTAAATAAGAAATCAGATTGCTCTTAACTATTCTGTTTACAATTATGAACTACAGCTACCAAAGAAATAATTTTAAATTAGAACACAATAAGAACATTTTTCATGTCAAACAGAATCCACTGAGTTTTAATCGTGGACATTCTGTCAAGGGCAATAATTGGATAAAACCAACTCAAGGGCAGTAATTGGATAAAACCTAGAAAATAATTCTTCACATCAGGTAAATACAGGGGTCAGAATAAACGTTTTATCTACAGGAGCATACATAAAAAGTTTCAAACATTAAGACATCTGGATACTATTATTTAAACATAGATCTACAGGAGCATACATAAAAAGTTTCAAACATTAAGACATCTGGACACTATTATTTAAACATAGATCTATATTCTACAGGCAAACACATAAAAAGTTTTAAACATTCAGACATGGACACTATTATTTAAACATAGATCTACAGACACACTCATACAAAGTTTCAAACATTCACAATTGGACACTATTATTTATTTTAAACATAGATCTATAGGCACACACACAAAAAGTTTCAAACATTCACAATTGGATACTACTATTTATTTTAAACATAGATCTAGATCTACATACAAAGTTTCAAACATTCAGACATGTTTACTAATCTAAAGCACAGATTTAAAAGTTAATCCATGAAATAGTGGTCACACCAAACAAATGGTCTAGCTATTGAGATGGACATTACAAGTGGGTCGGAGGTGCTTGTGTCAATAAGATGGATGGCAACTGACTAGTTGGGTTATATTTTTTATTGTGTCAACTTTCTGTAATCTTAATAGATTATAAAACTGTAATACTTTAGTTTTATAACACAAATTAGATTAAAACTGTTATAGTTTCTTCTTTAGGTTGTTAACATAATTAATGTTATTGAGGAAAGATTGTTTTCGTAATTAATGTAATTGAGGAAAGTACCTTTGTCGTCTTTTAGTTAAATATACAACAAACAATAACTTTCCAAGGATAGTTTAAAAAAAAAAACCAACAGTGAAAAGAAAATGCACACTCAATTACCACGTCTTTATTCTTGCACAATATACCCACCCACCCACCCTTCCTCTCACCCAACCTTCCTTCTCTCTCCCCAAAGATCTAAGAGAAAAATTGCTTTCTTTTTTTTCCTGTCAGTCAAGCCCAGCTAATTGTCTACGGCACTGATAGGCCGTGAAGCAGTCTATTTCCATTGGTCCATTTTCCTGGGGTGGGATTACTTTGGCTTCCTGTCCCTATGTGATAAAGTAGAGATCAAATAATCAGACTATTCTAATTCTGGCCATCACCCCTCCTCCCAGTGAGATCCTCATTCTCTTTCACTGCTTTTTTATTTACTATTTTTCCATATTCATATTTGTGATTAATAAAGAAATTCTCTTCGGAGGCTTGCGCAAATCAAATGAAAAGCTACAGACCTCTTTCTATTAAAATATCCGAAGTCCAATATATAGATACACATTAGAATATGCTTAAATTATTTTCATGATGTACAGTTTAACACACTTGAGCTTCAAAAATCCTATCCAGCTATCCAACCCTTACACCTAATTTCTTATTTAGTTTAAAAAGTGTGTTAAAAACAAAGTTAAAAATTTAATAAAAAGGCGAGGAACAAAAGAAAAACTGGAACGTTTGGAGCGAGTTATTTTCTGGTGTGTTCTATAGCTCCTTCAGTCTTTATTCCTGTACGTATAAAAAGTGAAATCCAACATATCTATGAGGCAGGTGGACTGTCAATCTTATCTCCAAGACTCAGTTTACCCCCCCCCCCCCCCACACCATTTACTGTTGGCACACAACTATCAACTTAAATTCATTTTAAAATTGTTCATTTTCTTTGTAATGTATTCATGAAGAATTCAGATTATAAGGAGTAGCAAACAATTCAGTCAAAATTAGTTTCAGGGTTTATTTTTGACATATTTCAATGGGGGTGGAAGGGGGGAGGGGGGAGAATAGAGAGAAGGGCCACCCCTCCTTATAGAGATGTCTGATAGAAACGCTGCCACCAATTCACCCCATCTTCCAATCCCCATTTTTGAACCACTTAGCTCTTTGTTTGTGGGACGATGTGGCTGGGTGGAAGAGCACGCGACTGCTAACTTTAAGGTCTCGAGTTCAGATCTCAATTCTATAGGACCTCCCTGAATCAATCCAGCTCTGATGGGCACTGACTCATGATAGGGAAACAACTAAAAGCGGCTGCGCAAAGTGCTGACTACACTAACTCTTCATATAGACCATGGTAAATAAACAAATGACCTCTACTTCTTCAGCCCTATATATGGTGAGGCCCAACTATCCTTATAGCTTTATCAGTTTAACAAAATTACCTTTACATTAGAGAAACAACAGAAATAACACAAAGAAATCTCTATTTCACTTATCTTTTAAAAAAAACTTAAATCTTATACTCTATATAGATATAGTAGAGATACATAAAACAGAATTAAGAATATTTTTTTTCCCAAAAAAGGAGAAAAATAAGCTTCTTTAATCAAATGATAATACGATAGAATAGGCAGGGAAGGGAGATAAGGAATGTCATCATTTCAAGGGAGATAAGGAATGCCATCATTTCAGTTTCATCAATCTCTGATTAAAAATGATTTGGCATCTTATCATTTCCTGCAGTTAGATTGAATATGTCTAGTGCAGAAAAACTAGATAGAATTTGTGCAGTGTAGAAAAACTAAAGAGAATTTGTGCAGCGTAGAAAAACTAGATAGAATTTGTGTAGAGTAGAAAAACTAGATAGAATTTGTGTAGAGTAGAAAAACTAGATAGAATTTGTGTAGTGTGGGGGAAACTAGATGTAATTAGTTTGGTGTGTGAAAACTAATTAGAATTTTTAATCAAGACATCAAGTGTCTCAGGTGCTTAATCCAACCAAAGGTTAATTAGTAAACATGTTGATTTTAATTTTGATAATGACAAAGTAAATAGAAACCTTATGAAAAGTTAAATAAAATTTAATAATTTTCCTTTTAATAAATATATAAAACAATTTTCATCAAGTTTATTTTATTAAGAAAACAGCTTAAATAAAACTGAATTTCTGAAACAACCAAAATGGAAACTGAACATAATGCTACAGCGTTTGTGTATATTACTTTTGAATTGTTTATTTTGCTACATGTTTTTTATAATATAAAATACTAATTTCAAAATAAAAATATAAACCCTATGTATATGGAAACAAATAACTATGAATTTTAAATTGACTAAAAACTATCATGAAATTACAGAAAAATGATTGTACTGAAATAACAAGCAATGAAATGACAAATGACAAGATCTTCAATGAAATGACAGACAAATGACAAGCATGAAATGACAAGTAACTATAATGAAATTAAAAGCAAATAACTAAAATGAAATGACAAATAACTGCAATGAAATGACAAAAAACAACAATAAAATGACAAATAACAACAATGAAATGGCAAATAAGTTAAAATATATGAGAAATATCTACAATGAAACAAAAGGCTTACTCTGAAGCTGAGAAGGCATGCTCATTGATGGCTTCTATCACTGATTTAAACGAGATCTTGGAAGTGAGGGTGTGGCCATGATAAATTATTGGTTCATCGTTAGGACCGTCCCAACAGTCCACTGTAAAATTAAAACAAGAGTTATGCTCATTTTAGTAACAGGTCATTAGCAAACCATTACAACAGGCAGAACTTAAGCTTCGTTTGAATTAATTATAGTAAGAAATCGTCGTATTCAAGTATTTTGATTTGACACAATTTGACAGCTGTCAATCTAGCCATCTTGATCGACAAATATATGAACTAGAATAATTTGATACAATTTGACAGCTGTCAATCTAGCAATCTTGACAGACTAATGTATGAACTAGAATAATTTGACACTATTTGACAGCTGTCAATCTAGCCATCTAGACAGACTAATGTATGAACTAGAATAATTTGACACAATTTGACAGCTGTCAATCTAGCAATCTTGACAGACTAATGTATGAACTAGAATAATTTGACACAATTTGACAGCTGTCAATCTAGCAATCTTGACAGACTAATGTATGAACTAGAATAATTTGACACTATTTGACAGCTGTCAATCTAGCAATCTTGACAGACTAATGTATGAACTAGAATAATTTGACACAATTTGACAGCTGTCAATCTAGCAATCTTGACAGACTAATGTATGAACTAGAATAATTTGACACAATTTGACAGCTGTCAATCGAGCCATCTTGACAGACTAATGTATGAACAAGAGCTTTACTTACAGTCTATACAACGACAACCTTTTTTGAGGGCTCTAATGTAGCCCTCCACACTCGATGGCCCTTTGAGCTGATCTTCTAATAAATACCTGAAACATACATCAGTATTTATTTGTTGTTTTTTATCTAGGTGCTGTGTTATACTAAATACCTGAAACAGACATCAGTATTTATTTGTTGTTTTTTATCTAGGTGCTGTGTTATACTAAATACCTGAAACATACATCAGTATTTAGATCTATGTGTTGTTTTTTTTATCTAGGTTCTGTGTTATACATACATCAGTATTTATGTGTTGTTTTTTATCTAGGTGCTGTGTTATACATACATCAGTATATTATATTTGTTGTTTTTTATCTAGGTTCTGTGTTATACTAAATACCTGAAACATACATCAGTATTTATGTGTTGTTTTTTATCTAGGTGCTGTGTTATACTAAATACCTGAAACATACATCAGTATTTATGTGTTGTTTTTTAATCTAGGTGCTGTGTTATACATACATCAGTATTTATGTGTTGTTTTTTATCTAGGTGCTGTGTTATACTAAATACCTTAAACACTAAATACCTTTTGTGTTGTTTTTTATCTAGGTGCTGTGACGTCATTTTAGGGGGGGGGGGGGTCTGGCTTATTGTGACGACGTGTGACGGAGGGGAGGGGGGAGGTAAAAATCATTTAAAAAAGCGTGACGTCATTTATGGATGGATGACCCCAAAACAGACATCAAATTTCTTAACTTATTTTCTATGTAGATCCTAAAGTTATACTAAATTACTGAAACAAACATCAAATCAATAAATGTATTTTTATCTAGGCTTTATGATAAAATAAATATAGAAACAGTTATCAAAATTTCAAAATTAATTTTTTAGTAAGTCTTAAGGTACAATGAATAGGCTCTTATCTGATTAAAGACATCAATACATCCACAAATTTTTGAAACTCTCACACATTTTGATGTAAATCATCATCATCAAAATATTATTCCATATAATTAATAAACACACAAGCTAACTTGTAAGTACATTAATATATAACTAATTATTAGATTTATCCCTATCCCTCTCCATAACATAAACCTTAACCACACCTCTAAACTTAATTAGTCACAAACCCAGTCAGTAAATCTTTCTCTGACCTTAATGCTAACTCTCTCTGTGCCAAGAGGTATAGAGCCAATTAGAAATATCAGGTATTTTTAGGTGGGAGGGGTTTTGACAGGGGATAATATGGAGGAGGGGGGTGTAGGGGCGGGTGAAGAAAAAACTATGAACTTTAGAATGAAGTAATATGTTGCTCGTCACATTATGCATTACATTAGCCAATTAATTAACAAGTTACCACAGTATTATTTTAATATATCACAGATATCTGCTACGATTATTCCTGCTTTGTACAACAAACTATTATTGTAACTTAACTCAAAGCCCTCATTTTATTCTAAAAAAAACATATTTTCTTCTTTCATTGATTTTCCATAAACAACCGAATATACATCAATGCTAAAAACCTGAGAATCTAAATCCATCCATCTACACACTTGAGGATTGGTTCAACCTTTTTTTCCCCTGTTATTTGAATACAAATTAAACCTAGCGTGTCATTCAATACTCGACTAAATTAAAACTTTAAAAAAAATTATCTAATGCCAATGCCCCTCTGACACGATCAAATGTAAGATGAGGATTTTCTTATTCGTTTTGTATAACTCAGTTTTATATAGATTGATTTAAACAGATTTTCATTTTTTTGGTTTTTTATTCTATTCTATTATTATATATTTTTTTTCACTTCTGAATATTAAATTCATCTTAGTTTTATTTAAACATAAGGTTTTTGTTTTATTTTAAATTTAAATTAAATTTTTAAATTATCCAGGTAATTGAAGATGACTGTGTATTTTAAATGATCTCACTGTATGGTACAATCAGCTGTGGCACCATTCCAATGTTAGATTTAGACAGTGTTTCCCTGTACGTACCAGGTGTATCAACCTCAGATTTTGTGTACTGACATCAGTAGCGTACGCAGGGGGGGAGCAGGGGGAGCGGCCGCTCCCCCTCTGGCCATTTGCAGCAAAGTGGCGCCTTTTTGAAAACTTTTTAAACTCAAAGTTTTAAACAATGATTTTTGTTAAATAATTATTTTTGGTCGGCACATCTATGTAAATCACAAGATTTCTTTTCATGCAGCAATTAAGCAGAATTGTACTATTCTAGTAGCGTCTACGTTTACAACACGTATTAACAGCTGTATCAAGTTTGTCATTCTAAAAATAACCATTACGATGCATTGCAATTTTTAAAAACCTTTACGTGTAGTACCATTTGGCAAGAGGGGTGTTAAGTTTAAGGCAACTGCATAATGTATTTGCTTAAGAATAATTGATCTAGAAAATATTATACATAAATCTTCACACATAATTACTTTATATATACAGTTTTGATCGTGTAATTAATTTAAAAAAAAATTACAATACAGACACAAATACAACTGATGTGGCATCTCTATTTAAATTTACTTATGGGCAAACTGCGTAGTGGTGGGGACATTTTGACAAGGTCAACAACGTCGTCACGATGAAGTAGTAGTATTATGACAGTTTGGGCGATAGTGATTACGATTACAAATTATATGAAACAGCTGTAAAAAAAATAGTGTCATAATACCACTGCTACTTATTTAAATCTATTTCTGAATCAGTATATATGAGTAATTGAATATGTATGTTTAGAACAGTCATCTAAAAACTGACGCTATGTTCACTCTGTTCACCACACACACTCACACACACTTCACCACCACAATTGTGTAGAGCGACATTAATGTCACACCTAGGTATACACTGGGTTGGATAATTGACCTAAAGTGACCGGACAGTGGTGAATGAAGTTGAACCCCCTCCCCCCCCCCCCCCCCCAACCCACCGTGAACTGATCTGTTAAGTACATTTGGGAAAACGTGTAACGATGTACCAAAGTACCATGCCGCAAGAATCATAGATTTTGAATCAGGTAAAACTCTGTGAATATTGTTTTTGCAATTACCAGTAAAAAGGTGTGTGATCAATACAGTGATCTAACCCATACCTGATCACTATGTTAAAAAAATGATCTTTAAAAAACACATAAAAGCAGTAGTTAATTAGAAGATCTTTGATCTGAACTAAAAGACCGAAAATTTAGTTAAATGTAAGCTATTATTCTGGTTGTTATTCTATAATTTTCAAAGCGTGTTTTTATACCAACTCTGATTTAAAAAACTTTCATTATGCTGTAATACTTTAGCATTTATGATGACGATATATTTAATTCTGATTACAGATAAAACAGAAATTGAAAACACGAATACAGTTAAACAATTATATTACATTTTAAAGTAATTATTGATTTGTTTTGACATTTATAATTAAATATATAAATATATAAATATTTATATTAAGAGCGTGATTATGTCCCCTATTTCGCTTGTCTTAATTAATGTCCCAGGAATTATTATGTAAAATTTTTTTTTACAAGAATTACAAAACAGATTGTGTTGCGTTTATTGATTTTGGTTGTATATATATATATATATATATATATATATATATATATATATATATATATATATATATATATATATATATATATATATATATATTGTTTACATTGATACATTTTTTGTTTTGTCGGCCTACATTGTGTGTTTTTTCTTATTTCTTCAAGTGCTACATACAATTTATTTTACATCATAGCGAAGTAATGACATACAGCTAGTAATTATATATATATATATATATATATATATATATATATATATATATATATATATATATATATATATATATATATATATATATATATATATATATATATATATATATATATATATATATATATATATATATATATATATATATATAAATGTATATAATACACGTGTTAGAACGTGTTAAATATTCGGCGCCTTTTTTTGCTCATTTCGCTCCCCCTACAACGAAAACCTGGATACGCCTCTGACTGACATACACAAACAAACCGACAAGCTTAGGGGAGTTTATTACTGATAGACAGGAGAGTCTAGCCTGACACAATTCCAGAAAAAACAAAACAAAAAATAGGGGAGGTAAATGCTCCCTTCAGGGGAGGCTATCCTCATTAAAATCTATATATGTCTGGCCCAACACTAAATCTTAACCCTGCATGGGTGTTATGTGGTTGATGGGACAATACTTGTGTACTATGTCACCTGGCATTAAAGTAGGGATGGAGGGGGTGTGTCACATAGGGATTGATTTGACAACACAACAATTTGACAATACGACAACATCAAAATCTGACAAACGACAACATCAAAACCTGACAAACGACAACATTATAATCTGACAATACGACAACATTATAATCTGACAATACAACAACATCAAAATCTGACAAACGACAACATTATAATCTGACAATACAACAACATTATAATCTGACAATACAACAATTTGACAATACGACAACATCAAAATCTGACAAACGACAACATTATAATCTGACAATACAACAACATTATAATCTGACAATACAACAACATTATAATCTGATAATACAACAACATTACAACATGACAATACGACAACATTATAATCTAACAATACGCCAACTTTACAATCTGACAATATGACAACATTATAATCTGACAATATGACATTAACTTACGTGTTATGTGAGCTGGCAATAAAATAGTGACTGAGGGGGTGTGTCATGTCCTGGCAAACTGAGATGTGTTCTGGGTCAAACAGGTCACACTCATCAGACAAAAGGTAGGCTGTGAAACCTGGCAATATAAAATGACATTAGAGAGATGATAAAACCTGGCAATATAAAATCACATTCATCAGACAAAATGTGAAACCTGGCAATATAAAATCACATTCATCAGACAAAAGGTAAAACCTGGCAATATAAAATCACATTAGATAGGTCATAAAACCTGGCAATATAAAATCACATTAGAGAGGTCATAAAACCTGGCAATATAAAATCACATTCATTAGACAAAAGGTAGGCTGTGAAACCTGGCAATATAAAATCACATTCATTAGACAAAAGGTAGGCTGTGAAACCTGGCAATATAAAATCACATTCATTAGACAAAAGGTAGGCTGTGAAACCTGGCAATATAAAATCACATTCATTAGACAAAAGGTAGGCTGTGAAACCAGACAATATAAACAATATTAACAATCTCATAGATTTAGTAGAAAATTCAGAAAAATACAAAAGTTTCCGTTGAATTTAATTGGAGGTCAAATTTTAAAAAGATAGAAATACATCAGATGGGATTTAATGGTAAAGTCTGGAAGTAAAAAAATTATCTGTTCCATTTAATTGGATATCAAATTTAAAAAAGGAAAAAAAAAATTTATCAGATGGATTTAGTTTTAAATCTAACAATTAAAACAAGATATAAGATATAATTAGATGCAAATCCTGTAAATCTCAATAAAAATAAGATAAATTCAATCTGGAACATTGGAAATAAATACAGAATAAAAAATAGTAGCTGGGATAGTTTGAGGTTGTAAACTTTACAATCAAACCAACAAAATAGCTGGGATTGTTTAAGGATTGTTCTTGGGCTGTCACAGTCTATGGGATCTAATTCTGCCGATATGGCTAACAACAGGTTGATGTGTTGTGTTGGAGGAAATCCCGTCAAATACTACAAATTAAGAACGGAGAAGAAGAAAACAGAAAGAGAAGAACTCTACTCCTTTGCACTAGGTGCTGGCAATGGAACATAAAAAAATATCAGACGAATCCAGATGCAAAGCGTGACATTAAAAACAAGATCAGATAGAGGCATGTAATTTTAGCAATTTAAAAAAAAAACAGGCAAATGTAGGCGTAAAATTATGGCCATGAAAACTTTTTTTTAATGATGGAGAAATTATTTTCTTTAATTAAAAATGTTTAACTCCATTAAAATAATTCTGTATGTGTCACCAGGAGGGTAGGGAAACAGAACAGGATGTGTCACCATGTAGGAGGGGAAACAGAGAGGGTGTGTCACCATATAGGAGGGGAAACAGAGAGGATGTGTCACCATGTAGGAGGATGTGTCACCATGTAGGAGGATGTGTCACCATGTAGGAGGGGAAACAGAGATGATGTGTCACCATGTAGGTGGATGTGTCACCATGTAGGAGGGGAAACAGAGAGGATGTGTCACCATGTAGGTGGATGTGTCACCATGTAGGAGGATGTGTCACCATGTAGGAGGGGAAACAGAGAGGATGTGTCACCATGTAGGAGGGGAAACAGAGATGATGTGTCACCATGTAGGTGGATGTGTCACCATGTAGGAGGGGAAACAGAGATGATGTGTCACCATGTAGGTGGATGTGTCACCATGTAGGAGGGGAAACAGAGATGATGTGTCACCATGTAGGTGGATGTGTCACCATGTAGGAGGATGTGTCACCATGTAGGAGGGGAAACAGAGAGGATGTGTCACCATGTAGGAGGGGAAACAGAGAGAAAGTGTCACCATGTAGGAGGTGAAACAAAGAGGATGTGTCACCATGTAGGAGGATGTGTCACCATGTAGGAGGATGTGTCACCATGTAGGAGGATGTGTCACCATGTAGAAAGGGAAACAGAGAGGATGTGTCACCATGTAGGAGGGGAAACAGAGAGGGTGTGTCACCATGTAGGAGGGGAAACAGAGAGAAAGTGTCACCATGTAGGAGGTGAAACAGGAGGATGTGTCACCATATAGGAGGTGAAACAGGAGGATGTGTCACCATATAGGAGGATGTGTCAACATGTAGGAGAGGAAACAGAGAGGATGTGTCACCATGTAGGAGGATGTGTCACCATGTAGGAGGGGAAACAGAGATGATGTGTCACCATGTAGGAGGATGTGTCACCATGTAGGAGGGGAAACAGAGAGGATGTGTCACCATGTAGGAGGGGGAAACAGAGAGGATGTGTCACCATGTAGGAGGATGTGTCACCATGTAGAAGGGGAAACAGAGAGGATGTGTCACCATGTAGGAGGGGAAACAGAGAGGATGTGTCACCATGTAGGAGGATGTGTCACCATGTAGGAGGGGGAAACAGAGAGGATGTGTCACCATGTAGGAGGGGAAACAGAGAGGATGTGTCACCATAAAGGAGGGGAAAACAGAGAGGATGTGTCACCATGTAGGAGGTGAAACAGTAGGATGTGTCACCATGTAGGAGGATGTGTCACCATGTAGGAGGGTGTGTCACCATGTAGGAGGGGAAACAGAGAGGATGTGTCACAATGTAGGAGGACGTGTCACCATGTAGCAGGATGTGTCACCATGTAGGAGGGGTAATTAGACCAACTAATCTCCGCAGCATCATCTATCACTGCATCATGTGACAACGTGCGGATACAATTTCATCTCATCATGGCAATGTTATCCGAGTTTTAATCCATCTTGACATTTTTATTCCATCCCTACAATCTTCATTTCATCAATAACATTTTCACTTCATCTCTACAATCTTTATTAAATCTATACATTCTTTATCCCATTTGTTCAATCTCTAACATCTTTATTCTATTTATAACATTTGTATTTAATCTGTAGACCTACCATCTTTATTCCATTTATAACATTTGTATTTAAACTACAGACCTACCATCTTTATTTCACCTTTACCATCTTTATTCCATCTTTAAAAAAATGTATTCCATGTATACTATCTTTACCACATCAATACCATCTTTATTCATCTATGCAATCTAACTAAATTCTCAAATAGCCAATATTGTAGCTGGCTAAATGCTCCTCAAATAGCCAATATTGTAGCTGGCTAAATGCTCCTTAAATAGCCAATATTGTAGCTGGCTAAATGTTCCTCAAGTAACCAATTTTGAAGCTGGCTAAATGCTCTTCAAATAGTCAATCTTGTAGCTGGCTAAATGCTCCTTAAATAGCCAATAGTGTAGCTGGCTAAATGCTCCTTAAATAGCCAATAGTGTAGCTGGCTAAATGCTCCTTAAATAGCCAATAGTGTAGCTGGCTAAATGCTCCTTAAATAGCCAATAGTGTAGCTGGCTAAATGCTCCTTAAATAGCCAATAGTGTAGCTGGCTAAATGCTCCTTAAATAGCCAATAGTGTAGCTGGCTAAATGCTCCTTAAATAGCCAATATTGTGGCTGGCTAAATGCTCCTTAAATAGCCAATAGTGTAGCTGGCTAAATGCTCCTTAAATAGCCAATAGTGTAGCTGGCTAAATGCTCCTTAAATAGCCAATATTGTAGCTGGCTAAATGCTCCTTAAATAGCCAATATTGTGGCTGGCTAAATGCTCCTTAAATAGCCAATAGTGTAGCTGGCTAAATTCTCCTCAAATAGCCAATAGTGTAGCTGGCTAAATGCTCCTTAAATAGCCAATAGTGTAGCTGGCTAAATGCTCCTTAAATAGCCAATAGTGTAGCTGGCTAAATGCTCCTTAAATAGCCAATAGTGTAGCTGGCTAAATGCTCCTTAAATAGCCAATAGTGTAGCTGGCTAAATGCTCCTTAAATAGCCAATAGTGTAGCTGGCTAAATGCTCCTTAAATAGCCAATAGTGTAGCTGGCTAAATTCTTCTCAAATAGCCAATAGTGTAGCTGGCTAAATGCTCCTTAAATAGCCAATAGTGTAGCTGGCTAAATGCTCCTTAAATAGCCAATAGTGTAGCTGGCTAAATGCTCCTTAAATAGCCAATAGTGTAGCTGGCTAAATTCTTCTCAAATAGCCAATAGTGTAGCTGGCTAAATGCTTCTACTCCTAAAATGACACGCTCTGGCTAAAGGCTACAGTTTAACCGTCCCCTACTGTAAAACCCTAGATCTCTAAATACATTCAGGTCAAACGTGCTTTCGAATGGCGATTTAATAATCCGGGCATCTCTTATCTCTGATTTGAAAATGAGATCGATCCTTTCTATATTTAAAAATCAATCAATTAATCCAAAGCTAGAGGCCTACATGGCAATATAAAAATGCAAAACGAGATTGGCAATTTCAATATGAAAGAGCAATTCAAGTTAAACAGCGTAAAGCCAGTCTGGTATAATTTTCTAGCAAATCATTGCATCCGGTGGGTGATTGCACGCTTTTTGATGACGTCATTCCGTTTTTTTTTTTTTTCTTCTCTGTCGAAGTAACGTCAACGACTGTTCTGTTCCTTTCATTCAGTGGTTTTATTTTACCGCTTGATTCTGGGTATTCAAATTCTGCTTGGCTTTTAAAATTTTTAGCACGGAAATGGAAACAGAAGTACTAAAAGCGGACTAACAATGAGGAAAAAAATTAAAAAAAAAACAACAAAAAAAAACGTAGTTAAAATTATTTTTTTTCCCAACAAAGAAAAAACACGGTTACAGTAAACATGCATGAAAGAAGCTCCGTTTTCAAACTACTAAAACAACCATGAAGCGGACATACAGCACATAGAGTATCAGTGTATGGTCTATATTAAGTTGATATGTTTTAGAACACGTATTTCCTCGTGCAACTGTTTATGCTGACCAATTTTCTAATTCAGCCGACTCAGCTTATTTCAGCGGACGATTCACCATTTTCAAAACTACTGAGTTGTTAAGTCAAGGAACTCTCTAAAAGAGGTGTCAATACTGTATATGTGGTGAGGGTGTGTGTGTGTGTGTGGAAGGGGGGGGTGTCAAACTGTCAGTTCTGGCTGGGTGTGTAGGGGTAGGGGGTGTCAAACTGGCTGTCACGACCTTGAGACGGAATAATAAATTGTGACCGAGAGCTCAAGAAATCACGTGACTTCACTGGCTAGACGTTTGTTTCTTTTTTTTTCTCGGCCACCATTGTGAATAAGCCAACGGTAAAGAATATCCATTGCTCCGCTCTCTTCTTTAGCCGGCTTATTGCTTAGCTCTGTTCACTTTGAATAAACCAAATCCTCTCACGCGAGTCTATCCTACGGTCACAATATTTGTCTTGAGGGGCCCACCTTACAGTCTCATCTACAGAGTGTTATTTTACATTCTTATCCATTGCAGCTAATTACGTTTCTAAATGAGCTCATTACTATGTATTGTCTAATAGCAAGTTGACTACTTGATAATTTTAGAAAGGAATTGAGTAGAGGGGGGGGGTGGACTGTTGAAGCATCCAATACAAATTATCCTAAATCGACATTGGTTTAAAGAAAGTTTTCACACAAGTTACGTCTAGGGCTACAGGCCTACAAAACGATACTGCATCAAAGTAATACTCATTAATTAAATGTATATACATTTGCTATACGTGTGTTATTTTCTCTTAAAAAGATGTTTGGAGAAAAAATGTATCACAATGCCTCCTCCCCCCCCCCCCCCCCCTTTAAACTAACAATAATCGTTGAATGGTCGTACAAATAAAAAAAAAATAACAGTAATTCAAATAAAACTACATTGTACTTCAGGATAAAGCAATATTGAGTCAGCGTGGCCGAAAATCGATTAGTAATTTAAATGCTGTCAGAGGCGTCAAATGTTTAAAGGCTGACAGAGGCGTCAACTGTAGTTTAGCGTGAAATGAAATGAATAAAAAAAACGACCTGCCAGTTCATGTGACCATGTTATGATTGGTTAACTGTCAAAACGGGAGAGGTGACAAGCATGGGGTGGTAAGGGGGGGGGGGGGTGAGACGGGGAGAGTTCATTAAATATGAATTGAACCTCCAGACACTATTATACGCGCTTGATCTAAGCTGTACTTATTTAACATAGGGTAAGAGTTACCAAGATGGTGGTTGGGTTTGAATTTCCTATAGGTTTTAGGCAGTAGCTGAAGGGTTTGTTCTACAGTTAGCTACTGGCGTAAGCCATGATATATGGGCGTTAGTAATACGTCACTTGGTTGACCAGTAAATTCACTTAAAATTGGTTTCTTATTTCAGACTATAGGGCAGATGAAGTAGTTCGTGTTTCTAGCCTCGGCATATGAAGGTCAGCGCTATGCTTAGAAGCAGTTGCTTTCCCTAACGTGAGTCAGGTACCCATTAGAACTGGGTCGACTCAAGGACATCGGTTACCGAGATCCAAATTCGAGACTTTCGGGCTAACATACAAGCTCTCTATCACCCTTCATACATTTAACTCCGTCGTATAGTTACCATACAATTTAAACCATTATTTTTAAAGCTCAAAAGATAAGATATTTTTTTTAACAAAGTAAAAAATCTAAGACGCTGATGTGCAGCGAATAAAACCAGCTCACCATCAATGCCCAGTTGACCTTTCCTCCTGCCCTCCTGGGTCGGTTCAAATTTGTTGATAATCTCCAAACATTTGTCTTTGGTCACACGCTGCATCTAAAAGTAAACAGAGATGGCTGATATTTAGGGCATGTGACAGTATGGTTAATTACTGTAACGGTAGGGTAAGGTTAGGGTATAATGTGGTTAAGTATTACTATTGGAACGGTAAAGGTAGGACATGGTTAGGGTTAGATCAGAGGCGAGATGGGGAAATCTTTTATTTTTTGTTTCACAGACAGACAGACAGACAGACAGACAGACAAACAGACAGACAGACAGACAGACAGACAGACAGACAGACAGACAGACAGACAGATACACACGCACACACACACACACAAACATAATCATACACATAAACATAAATATATATATACATATATATATATATATATATATATATATATATATATATATATATATATATATATATATATATATATATATATATATATATATATATATATATATAATTTAGAGCCTTGTGCCTCTGTATGTATATTTGTGAAAGACATGGTTAGAGTAAAAAAAAAACTCGATTTTATCGCCGTTGTGTAATATTAAAAGTGTTTATTTCTTTACTAAAATCTCAAGTGATAATTAAAAAACTCAATACTAATCATTTTAAAACTAAATTTTCATTTTACAACTAATCTTTCTGATTGACGTAATATGCAAAGAACAAAATTATAATATATGTATATATATATATATATATATATATATATATATATATATATATATATATATATATATATATATATATAAAGAGTGATGTAGATATAGATATATATAAAGAGAAATATATGCTCGCCCTGGACCCTAGCTACGCCACCGCATTACAAAGAGAAACCAAAATGGCCAGCTGAAATGTGGGAATTCCCTAAGCCCAGCTGGCTGTAATGTTGTTGTTCATGACACCAAGACGAATGGCCACAGTGCAGACGGCCACAAGAACGCCGACCATAATACAGTGACCACAGGAACAGGCGACCTTTACGACATCCCATGTTGACCATCAATCCTCACCCACCCTCCCTTGATATACCGCCTTCTTGAGAAATAACAGACTCCTCTTCTCTACCCCCCCCCTCCCCCCTGTTAACCGCCGTCTCCAAATTGAACTTCACACTCTAATGTTAGGAAAAAAGGAAGCGACGAACTTTTCACACCAACGGCTTCAAACACTGAGTTAAAAAAAAAATCATCACTTTCAACCCATTAGCATAATCTCCCCTTGTTAAATAGGCCTACTTTACAAGAAAATGAAAGTAATTTATTTCATTCATAAATATTTCACCCCAGGTAAATGCCATTATCGTGCGATGGAGGGGGTGGGAAGGGGAGTTTAATGAGACAGCAGGACGACGTTTATCGAGTGGTGGGTGGAGTAATTGGGGACGAGGGAAGCGTAGAGGCTAAAAATAGACATTTTCATTCACGACAGCCGGGGAAAAAAACAACCGACTATAACAATAGGTTTGAGAGAGGTTTGTTTTGTTGATTGACCAGTTGCGGGAAGTGTTTGACGACAATGGAGTGGGAAGATGAGTTGTCGTCCGTGATTATATCACGGAAGGTCGATTATCACACGGCTGTTTATATCACGGGCTGTTTAATTACATCGCGGCTGTTTGAGTATATCACAGCTGTTTGATTATATCACGGCTGTTTAATTATACCACGCTGTTCGAGTAAGCTAAATCATGGCTGTTTGAGGATATCAGAGCTATGTAATTATATTACGGCTGTTTAATTATACCACGGCTGTTTGATTACATAACGGCTGTTGAGTATATCTCAGCTGTTTGATTATATCACAGACGTTTGTTTATATCACGGCTGTTAACGACAGATGCTGGGATTTTATTCAACTGGGAAGTAAATAAGGATGTGATGATTGACGCTAGCAAGCTAGTCTTGTAGGCTTTCAGACTAAACAGTTCTAAGAAATCTTTATATATATATATATATATATATATATATATATATATATATATATATATATATATATATATATATATATATATGTATGTGTGTATATAAACACAGTCATCAACCAAGTAGAGAAAAAAATTCATGTATTAGAACAAGCGAGCTATTCCACTGATCATGTCCAGATGACCAAACTAGCCAGAGGTCAGTCTAACCCACCGCAGCACTTGGTCAACTCAAAAGGCAGCTGGCGATGGCCGTCCATAAATGGGATCAGACGAGAAAACAGCAGCCGGCCTTGAGACGCCCCAGATCCTTTCTACGCCACTAATTCTGTATGATCCCATGCGCCAAGGCAGGCCCGCCTGTTGAGGTGTGAATCCTTTTACCCCATTTTTTAAAAACGTGTTCTGTTGTTTGATTCTATCAATAATACAATTGAACTCTGGAAAAAAAATGGTATGGGTTTAAACCTTTTAATTCGTCAAATGTATTTTTCTGATCTTTTGAAAGCTGCACCTCAAAATTTAAAATAAAGCAAAAATATTTTTACACAGGGATCCTTCGGTAAGCATTTGGCAGTAAGATATTTTGTCTGAGGTATTTTTTTTCACGATATCTTATGTCTATGCTATCCTTTGTCTAATATATCCTTTGTCCTTATATATTTTGTAATGAGATATTTAGTCCGTGAGATCATTTTTCCTGAGATCATTTGTTCTTGTGATATTTTAGTCTGGGATATGAGATGAGATGATTTGTCTTGAGATCTTTTGTCCATGATGTCATTTGTCTTGAGATAATTTGCCATCGGCATATTTTGTCTGGGAGATTTTGTCCTGGGATCATTTGTCCTGAGATCATTTGTCCTGAGATCATTTGTCCTGAGATCATTTGTCCTGAGATAATTTGTCCTGGGATCATTTGTCCTAAGATTATATGTCCTGAGATCATTTGTCCTGAGATCATTTGTCCTGATATCATTTGTCCTGAGATCATTTGTCCTGATATCATTTGTCCTGAGATCATTTGTCCTGAGATCGCGTGTCCTGAGATCACGTGTCTATCACACAGTAATGTGTACAACCCAAACCCCTACAGAAAATAACTAAAAGACAGACACGGACTCAGACAGACAGCTGATGTGAAGACAGACACTGAAGTCTAGACATAGAAAAAAAGGATGGCAGACAGAGTGGAAGAAGATGGTCAAGCCACCAAAGCCATTTGGATGCTTCCATGGTTTTAACATTAAATGTTTTAACTTCAACAAGCACATTCTTAAATTCTTTCAAGTCAAATTAGGAATTTAACTACCGTATCGAATATGTAACGCATACATTAGTTTAAAGCATGTGTTGGTATAGAATGACTTCGGGTGTTAGAAGGCCCTGTGTACAATTGTTGAGAGCATTTGGTTTATGTGAAAATATATCAAAGAGGAGTAACTCCAGGAAACAAAACAAAAAATTCCCCTTTAAAGCACACGCTAGACAAAAAGTCAAGGTATGGTACAAGGACAAAATAAAAAATGACTTTGGAATGTCAATATAAAAGCCGAAGTCAAAAAATAATTCTTCCGAAAAAATGTATCTTTGGGAGGGAGGGGAGGTAATTTTTTCCCGTTAAACTAGGTTAAATGGAGTTGTCATAATTCACTATCCAGCTTTAACCGCTGTCTAGACGCATACCGCTGGATGAAGTGGGAGTAGCGTCCCTTTGGTGTTGTCGAACGGATGCTCCGTGGAGAGCCGGGTCAAACATTGGGGGGGGGGGGGGGGTCCTCAGACCAAACAGGATGTCCCCCGGCCTGCGCTGGTTGGGACAACACGACAGCCCCCTGTCCACACAGCCGGGACATTTTTCCCCCTGTTCGCGACTGGGTTCAAACATGCGACCTCCATAAAAATAGACACTCGTCTTTAATTACGCAGTCTAAATTTAGCTCGTTTATTCGGATATTTTAAAATCAATAATAACAAAATCATTCACGTATCTAATGTTTTTTTTCTTTCAGTTGAGGAATAGATAAAAATAATCTTGTTCCTAGACCTGATAATCCATTCCTAGATGAAGAGGAGTTCAGCTATTTTGAGATGACTGTGAACTGTGATTAGTAAGTAAACAACGATAAGACGCCTTCATTTTTTATCAATCAAACCCTCAGCATATTCATAGAACCCTTAATATGGCAACCCAATTCGAAACACCAGGCTAACTTGCGTGCACTCTACCTCTCGAGCACACCACCACGCTGCTCGTTATATTTTTTAAACTATAGATTAAGAATAAAGTTCCCCTATCACACATAACGATCAATAGTGCAGATGAAGTAGAGTTCACGTTAAAAAAACAAGTTAATAAAAAGTCTAGTGACAATTTAAGCGCAATTTCCTTATGTTATCCATAACGCCTTTACTTTCTATAACGTGATCGCAAGGGTTCCCACTCCGGGACTTTATGCGGTCTCGAATTCCGAAAAGAGCGAGACTGACAGTACCTAGTACCACATGAGGACAGTACCCAGTGCCACATGAAGACAGTACCCAGTGCCACATGAGGACAGTACCCAGTACCACATGAAGACAGTACCCAGTGCCACATGAAGACAGTACCCAGTGCCACATGAAGACAGTACCCAGTGCCACATGAGGGCAGTACCCAGTGCCACATGAAGACAGTACCCAGTGCCACATGAAGACAGTACCCAGTGCCACATAAAGACAGTACCCAGTGCCACATAAAGACAGTACCCAGTGCCACATGAAGACAGTACCCAGTGCCACATAAAGACAGTACCCAGTGCCACATAAAGACAGTACCCAGTGCCACATGAAGACAGTACCCAGTGCCACATGAAGACAGTACCCAGTGCCACATGAAGACAGTACCCAGTACCACGCGAGGACAGTACCCAGTGCCACATGAAGACAGTACCCAGTACCACATGAAGACAGTACCCAGTGCCACATGAAGACAGTACCCAGTGCCACATGAAGACAGTACCCAGTGCCACATGAGGGCAGTACCCAGTGCCACATGAAGACAGTACCCAGTGCCACATGAAGACAGTACCCAGTGCCACATAAAGACAGTACCCAGTGCCACATAAAGACAGT